TTGACCTTGAAAGGTCAACTTGAAAATTTGACCTTAGGTCAAGGTCATGACCTGACCGGAAAGGGTCATGTTGCATATCAGTCGATCCGTATCGTCGAGCTGAACACATCTAAGGCGTTTTCATCGCTCTAGCATGCCTCTATCAAAAGTTATTTGCGAAAAACTGTTAGATACCATTCGTGACCTAAGATGACCTCAGGGCATAAACAAGGGTCACGGACACCATTTTCATGTTCTGTGTGTCTAAACCACTTGTAATTCGGTGTTTGGGAGTGTTTATAATGTCTTTCGTCCGAAAGAGACGCATTTCATTTTTCTCCCATTGACTTATAATGGGGAGGTCGCAAAATTGACCTGACCTTAGGTCATCGATATCAAAATTCTGAGATATACATTTTGTACATGCTATTGCTCTTAGCAATCGCTGAAAGTTTCAAAGCGATCGGTCACTCGGTGTAGCTATGATAGACATTGAAACTTTTTATGAGGTGAGGTCACTTCAAGTGACCTGGTGACCTGACCTTGAATGACCTTGGTCTGAAATTTTCACAACATTTGTAGAATTGATGTATGATAAGGTGTACCAAAAACGGCGGCGCTCCGCGCCGCCGTTTTTGAGATATTCGCGAAAAACCACAAGGGGGGGTGTTCAAACACCCCCCCAGCAGGGCGCGGGTTAAAATTTAAGAAAAACGTTAAGTACACTTAAGCAAGCTAAAAAGTATATCATTCGATGCGCCTTGACGTGCTGAGTTCACTGGTGCTTTTCTTTTTGCTCTATCTTAATTAGATCAAAAGTTATAAGCGAAAAACTTTTGACCTGTTTTTAGCGAAATTTTTACATTTATACCCCCCAAAACCCCCCTAAATATTGACCTAGAGCAACCAAATTTTCACAGGGGCGAGAACTCCAGGGGGCTCACCTACCTAACAAATTTGGTGTTTCTAGGTGCCATAGGAGCCAATCGCGAGGGGGGGTCGCATCGACCCCCCCCCCCTGCCAGGCCGTGTTATGAAAAATGCCCTGCCAGGGCGAGGGTTAAAGGTGATAGTTCACTCGGTGTAGCTATGACGAGGATTCAAACTTTTTCTGAGGTGAGGTCACTTGACGTGACCTGGTGACCCTTGGTGCTAAATTTTAACAAATGTGTGGAAAAGATGCTGGCGTTTTTTTAGATATCTGCGAAAAACCGCAAGAGGGTGTTCAAACACCCCCGCCCCCCCCCCCTCCCGGTCCGGTGCGGGTTAATTGAGTCATTTTTAGTTTCCACTTTTTTGAATATTTATTAATATTTATAAATATTTATTGATTTAACCCGCGCACCGACGGGGGGGCGGATATCCGCCCCCCCCCCTGAGGTTTTTCGCGAATAGCGGGAAAACCGCGGCGCGTAGCGCCGCGAAATTTGGTATGACTATTCCCTTATCAATTTTACACATGGTGTGCAAGTTTGAACCTCCTACCTTTCAAGGTCAGGTCACCAGGTCACTTTGAATGACCCAACCTCAAGTCACTTTTTTGCAACTTTGTCACCGTGCCAGAGCTACAGTAGATGTCGGAGGCCTTTGAAAGTCGCAGGATGTTATTAGGTCATTAGTAGCTACAATTTGTATATCTCGGAATTTTGATATCGGTGACCTAAGGTCAGGTCAATTTCGCGACCTCCCCATTATAAGTCAATGGGGGAAAAATCAACTCCCTGTTTTTACCACTAAAACGGGTCGGAATGGCCCCATATACCATACATGACTTCATATACGATCAACCTTCACTACCTTGAGGTCTGTTTTGCTGTTGGGCAGCTGTGAGGTCATGTGACGTCATCAAAGGTCACCAAAGGTTTTTGGCCAATAACTCCGTACAGGAACAAGATACAGACGCGTGGATGGTCTCATTGTGTTCAGCTCGTCAAGACGCATCGAATGATATACATGATGACCTCGAGGTCACGTGACCTGAGGTCAACCTTTGACCTTGACCTTTCGAGGTCAACATATATATCATTCGATGCGGATTGACGAGAGGATCACGATGATGCCCTTAGTTTGTTCCTATCTTGACTAATTCGAAAGTTATTCGAGAAAAACTCTCTCCATATTTAGCGCCGCCATTTTGACTTTTTCGACCCCTGTGACGTCATCTTTGACCTGACCTGAAAATGACCTTTGTAAAAATTGTAGATCTTGACCGTGCGTATCCGATGCCGTTTACCGCTTGTCGCTATCTTGCTTCGTTCTCGAGATCTCAGGGGGGGCGGTCATCCGCCCCCCCCCCCCCCCCGTCGGTACTAAGTTGGCGCAGACCCCCGTCGGTGCGCGGGTTAAACGTCGATTTTCGTTTTCTTTATGAAGTTGAAGACTTCTTTAGCAAATTTGGATGCTCGTCTCCCAAAATTGTTGGAAGGTGAAAGTTAATATTATTTGCCGAGCAAAAGTTCAGCATTTGTTGCCTTTCGCTTTCTGTTGCGAATTTCGTACTAGGTCAAAACTTAGCAAAAATCACTAGCTCAATTGTCACTAGCTGTTTTGACGCGGATCCGCCTGCGCATAGGAAACGCTTAACCCGCGCCCGGCTGGGGGTCCTGGATTTCCACGCCCTGCTGGGGGGGGGGGGTGTTTGAACACCCCCCCCCTTGTAACTCGGCTCCTGGGCCACGTAGCGATACGCCGAAGGCGGCGTTCGAAAGAGCGTCAAAAATAATGACGAAATCACTTCGGTCAATTTTTTGGTCAGGTCAAAGGTCAGGTCACCACAGGTCATTGAAGGCAAAATTTCGCCGATTTCCAGGTCGAATATCGAAAATTTCCAAGAAGCCAACGCATAACTCGGGAACCAATAGAGCTACAGCGCCGCGGAAAAGCGCATTCGATAGCCCTATTAACGCCCTTTCTGAGTAATTCTCTCAGATTTGACCTAACGTCAATGGTTTTGCCTGCAGGGGGCAAAAACTGCAAAAATAGCCGATTTTTTTGGAAACAGTTTTTTGGCAATAACTTTTGACCCAAGCCTTGTACGAGCTTACTTTTACCGGCATCGTGTTCCTCTCGTCAAGACGCATCGAATGAACTATAACTTGACCTTGAAAGGTCAACTTGAAAATTTGACCTCAGGTCAAGGTCATGACCTGACCGGAAAGGGTCATGTTGCATATCAGTCGATCCGTATCGTCGAGCTGAACACAGCTAAGGCGTTTTCATCGCTCTATCATGCCTCTATCAAAAGTTATTTGCGAAAAACTGTTAGATACAATTCGTGACCTAAGATGACCTCAGGGCATAAACAAGGGTCACGGACACCATTTTCATGTTCAGTGTGTCTAAACCACTTGTAATTCAGTGTTTGGGAGTGTTTATAATGTCTTTCGTCCAAAAGAGGCGCATTTCAATTTTCTCCCATTGACTTATAGTGGGGAGGTCGCAAAATTGACCTGACCTTAGATCACCGATATCAAAATTCCGAGATATACATTTTATAGATACTGTTACTCTTATCAATCGCTGAAAGTTTCAAAGCGATCGGTCACTCGGTGTAGCTATGACAGACATTGAAACTTTTTATGAGGTGAGGTCACTTCAAGTGACCTGGTGACCTGACCTTGAATGACCTTGGTCTGAAATTTTCACAACATGTGTAGAATTGATGTATGATAAGGTATACAAAAAACGGCGGCGCTCCGCGCCGCCGTTTTTGAGATATTCGCGAAAAACCACAAGGGGGGGTGTTCAAACACCCCCCCCCCCCAGCAGGGCGCGGGTTAACCCGCGCCCTGGTGGGGGGGGGCTATTTTTTGCCCCCCCTCCGGACTTTTCGATATATCTCCAGAACCACTGCGCCGATCGTCACCAAACTTTCAGTACCCTCCCGGACATCAATTTTACACATTGTGACCAAAAATTTTTCCAAAGGCTATGATAGGTTGGCCGGAAATGACGTCAGAGTGACGTCATGTTCTGCCGTTTTCGACCCAAAAAAGGGTTTCGCGGGAAGAGCTGTCAGGCCTATAGCTTTGCAAATACAGAAAAATGATACAGACATAAAAGCTGTAGAATGGACAGGGCTACAAAACTGCTATCTCGGATTTTTGAAATTTTTGGATTTTGACCCCAAAAAATTAAAAAATAGATTTTTTGAATATAATAGCCAAAAAATCCAAAAAGTTTTTTGAATTTCGAAAAAACCGGAATATATGTGATAGTCCTTACCGCCTTCTATCTACATACCAAATTTGAGATCGATACCTCTTTTTTTGGCCAAGTTATAGCGAAAAAACTGTTCAAAATTGATGACGTCAAATTTTCAAACTCGATTTTCAGCAATTCTAGACCTCGTAGCGCAAAACAAAGACCACCATTAGACTCCCCGTGACGAGCTGCATCGAATCAATACCCATTTTATGCAAAAATATCAACTTTGAAATTTGACCTTTTTTGACCTGACCTTGACCTGACCTCCACCAGAAAGTAACCTAAACCGTACCTGATGGTCTTATAACCAACACTATTGAGTTGGAAATGAAAAACTGGCCATAAAACATGCATCGCATAACCTTAGTAAAGTTGGGTTCATGTGGTGACCCTTGGTGACCTTTGGTGACCTGACCTGTGACCTGACCTGGTATGACCAATGACCTCTAACAGCAACATATCTACTAGGCAACTGACGGCCTATCGCTGATTCCCGACAAAATGCGTTTTCCTCGGTGTTATAGCGCATTCCCTAGAAGACCCGTGAACGGTGAAACATTTCATCTTTGACCTGACCTGTGACGTCATCGGTGACCCCGAGGTCAATAAAATTTGGTTTCCCTCAACAAATTTGACAGGCCTTTCGAACGCCGTTTGAATTTTTCGGATCCGTCCAGTAGTTTCGGAGATACGAGGGGGGGCAAAAAATAGCCCCCCCCACCAGGTCGCGTTATAAACAGACCCCACCAGGGCGCGGGTTAAGTGTGAAATCTACAGTAGCTGTTGTTAACGTTATTTTCTTATTTATTTACAAGGTACTACCACGTGGAAAAGTCAAAAAGATTCTACTTCATCGCTATGGAGCTAGCAGTCGGCACAGTGGACGACTACGTGGAAAGAAAGCAGCACACTTCAGAGGTTGATGAAATTGCCATCCTCCGAGACTCGTCCATTGCACTTGAATGGCTACACGGCCAGACTATAAGTAAGTGGCATCATAACCCTCGCACTTGTAGGAGGTCGGATGGACCCATCCCCCTCGTTTTTTCGCGAATAACCCGAGCAAAAAGCGGCCGATCACGACGAAACTTTCAATACCTTTGAGATAACCCACGCCCCACTGGTGGAGGGGGGGGCTATTCATAGTCCCCCTCTCGTTTTTCTCCAATAACCCGCACCCCGCTGGGGTCTGCCGAGCAACGCGCCCCGCTGGGGGGCAATTTGCACCACCCCCTCCTAAGATCTCGAGAACCACGCAACATAGCGACAAGCAGCAAACAGCGTTGGATAGCCCCAACAGGGAACAACCTTGTGAACCAATTTCATTGACCTCGGTCAAACCGATGACGTCACAGGTCAGGTCAAATGTCGAATTTTCACCGTTTTTCAGGCATTTCAAGAAATGTGTTGTAAAATCGAGTAAAATGCATATCATTGAAAATCATCGATGGAGAATTGTTCGTCAAACACATATTTGCTATTTGAGGTCACTGATACTAGGTCAGGTTACAGAGGTCAGGTCACTGAGGGTCACAATATGAAAATATCATGTGATGCATGTTTTATGGTCCATTTTACATGACAAATGCGATTATGTGGGTCAGCCAACTTTTAGGGCCAGTTTAGGTTATGTTCTGGTGGAGGTCAGGTCAAGGTCAGGTCAAATTAGGTCAAATTTCAAACATGATATTTTTGCATAAAATGGGTATCGATTCGACGCAGCTCGTCACGAGGAGTCTGATGGTGGTCTTTGTTTTTCGCTACGTGGTCTAGAATTGTAGTTAAAATTTGACGTCATCAATTTTGAACAGCTGTTTTTTTGCTATAACTTGGCCACAAAAAGAGGTATCGATCTAAAATTTGGTATGTAGATAGAAGAGGGTAGGGACTATCATATACAGGGTGTCTAAAAAAACGAGGCGATAAAGAATCATTATATCTTGGAAAGGTATTATGCTAGGATATTTACTGATATGTTTTTCAGAAGAGAATTGTTGAATTTGTTATGGTACGTCGGTTTGTATTGTCCGGCACGAATTATGCCCATGCCACGTGCAAACATCTCGTGCCCAAAAAAGATTATTTTTACAAAGTTGGCAAACCCATGACGATGGGGGCTTTTAATGAAATGTTTTCTGGAAAAGTCTTTTTACGAGAATGGGATATTTACCCGCGCCCTGATGGGGGGGCCATTTTGCCCCCCCCCCCCCCTGTGGTTTTTCTTGAATAGCAAAAAAACGGCAATTTCCAGTACCTTCCCGGGCATCAATTTGACACCTTCACACAAAATTTTAAGTCACAGGTCACCTTGGGTCAGAAGTTATTGAGGTCAAACTGAGGTCATGTTCGAGCAAAAATGAGCAAAAAACATTACATCTTGAAACGCTCAGCAAATCTACAGTTTACAAGCAATTTTAAAATTCTTTATGTGGTCGTGTAGAAAAAAACGGCGCTACAAAACTGCTATCTCAGATTTTCAAAATTTTTGTATTTTGACCCCCCAAAAATTGATTTTTTTTCAGAAAAAAAACTCAAAAATTTCCCATTTTTTCGAATTTTGAAAAAAACGGAATACTTATTATAGTAGGTACCTGTACTCTTCTATCTACATACCAAATTTCAGATCGATATCTCTTTTTTTTGGCCAAGTTATAGCGAAAAAACTGTTCAAATTTAATGACATCAAATTTTTTAAACTCAATTTTTAGCAATTCTAGATCACGTAGCGCAAAACAAAGACCACCATTAGACTCCTCGTGACGAGCTGCATCGAATAGATACCCATTTTATGCAAAAATATCAAGTTTGAAATTTGACCTTATTTGACCTGACCTTGACCTGACCTTCACCAGAACATAACCTAAACTGGCCCTAAAGGCTGCCTGACCCACATAATCGAATTTGTCATGTAAAATGGACCATAAAACATGCATCACATGATATTTTCATATTTTGACCCTCAGTGACCTGACCTCTGTGACCTGACCTGGCATCAGTGACCTCAGATAGCAAAAATTGTGTTGTATGGACAATTCCCCATCGATGATTTTCAATGACATACATTTTACTCGATTTTACGACGCATTTCTTGAAATGTCTGTAAACGGTGAAAATTTGACCTTTGACCTGACCTGTGACGTCATCGGTTAGACCGAGGTCAATGAAATTGGGTCACAAGGTAGTTCCCAGTTGGGGCTATCCAACGCCGTTTGCCGCTTGTCGCTACGTTGCGTGGTTCTCGAGATCTTAGGAGGGGCCAAAGTGCCTTCCCCATCAGACCGCGTTGCCCGGCAGACCCCATCAGGGCGCGGGTTAAGATTTTTTCAAATTTTTATTAGATACCTATATCGATTTAAGTGATGTAACTACATGGCGTTTTCAGTCAAAAAGTGGTAAATGTTTAAAACATCGCCAAAAAACAAGGTTTAAAGCAAATTCTAAATTAAGGACATGAATAGACGCAGCTCAACGAGTTCTTTAAAATGGCTATCTCGGATTTTTCATAAAATGCGTTTTCACCCCTAAAAATTCAAAAAACTGTATTTTTTTTGGAAAACAGCTAATAAAATGAAAAATTTTGAGAATTAAAAAAAAAACGGATTATATGTTATAGAGCTCCATTTGAAAATTAGATGTCCCAAATATCAACTTTCTATCTTGATTTTTGACCCCCAAATTGTAAAAAATAGCTCCAGCATGCATAGAGCATGGTGACGTCATAAGCAGTTCCGTGCATTAGAGGCACTTCTGAACATCGCATGTGAAAACAAATGGCGCCACTAGATTCCTGAGGCCAAGCTCGTCTAGAAAAGTGCATTGTTATGTCAAAAATAACAAGTTGAAAAATTGATCTTTGTTCTTAGCCCTCGTTTAGTTATGTAAAAACAATTTTCTATGCTTTCAATGCACACTCTTCACCAGCACAGTGACTTGGGGTCACATATAACCATTACCATCGGATTCGGCGTGAACAATAAGCCATAAAACATGTGTCGCACGCCCATGTAGCAGAAAGTGAAAACCGTGACCTTTCATGACCTGACCTGACCTTGACTCGTACTTGGTATGACCCCTATACGCACATGGTACCTTCACTAGGTATTTGAGGTCATTTTTGGTGAGTTTCGAGCAGCAGCTATCCATTCCGCTGTCCGTAAGCCTAATCATGCAAAACCCCAGAATTTGACCTTTGACCTGACATTGACCCGAAAGTTGACCTCAATCTTGAAATCTTAAGAGTGCTTACCCCCCCCCCTTCCAGGCTGTCGTGGGTACGGAAATAGCCCAGGCGATGCCGGGTTAAGGCTAATTTTATGTTAACACTCGCCCGCACATGGGGGGGAGGGGGGGGGGGGTACAGGGTCTTTCATAATGAATGTTATATTTAAAGGAGCTATTTCTCAGGGCATATATAATCCTTATGTTATATGTACTATTGGTCTCAAGATAAGGGTCCAGGCGGCCTGTAGGTTTGATGCGGTGAATGCCCTCACCCTCGCCACAGCTGGAGCGGGGGTAGGGGAGGGGGTGCGTTCGGCCCGAGCCTGACAGCGGGGTCGCTCGCCGCAGCTCAGTGTGGTGTCCAGCGGTGCAGTCGGAATCAGGCGGAATTATGCCGGCGGCGGTAACCAGTCGAAGGGCCTGGCTCAGTCGCGTCTCGAGACGAGTTACCGAGCAGGGTGTCAGCGATAGATGGGAGGGGTGTGGTCAGGGTGCTGTTTGATCACCAAATCAGCATGCTGTCAGTTTGCTGGCGTTTCTCATCTTCTCATTGGTCGTTGATGAACCACACGTGGTGTGTGCGATTGACCAATGAGACTCAGAGACGCCTGTAACTGGCTTCCATATATTGGAAAACCGACAGCAAGCTGAAAACACGACAGTGCATGGGGCGCACTAGCTTTGAAGGTCGCTCCGCATAAGCATAACTTTCCATAGATGAGGGTGACGGGTGGTACCTACCCCAGACTTCTTGCGATTGCTCTCAACAAGGAAACCCGAATAATAAATGAAAAATAGCACACCTGACTTGATTCAAGCCGATTCTCTGGTGACACCAACGACCAATTACATTTTTAACTCTTGTCGACTCACTGACCTATGACGTCATAAAAGGCTTCACTCGGTCCCAAAATGTTGCGGCTTGGCAACTCCGCCATTGCTAGGTCAACTTCTGCAGATAAATAAAACTCACAGGACTTCATATTCTTCCGAGACCTTGCAACTTTTATGTCTCGTAATTTCTAGAAGTTCACGTAAAGCTAGGTCAATGACGTGACCTCCCTCACCATCATAATTCAACAAGGGAAATATTAAAATTTATGTTGATGACAAAAAAAAAAAATATTTACGACTATCGTTTGCACATGGAGTCGTGCTCGTGTCGCTTCACTCCTTGCAAGATCGATGTTCAACTTTTGCGTTGTGAACCATGTGCAACGTCATAAACGACGTTACATAGATATTGGAGTTCTTTTTTGTCATTATTCCGCACCGTAGACAGTGTTAACAATTCCTCCACGTGCAAAGAGAGAAAATTGTCAGATGTTTACCTGATTTGTTAAACGTCTAGACGTTTGTCTAGTCTGAAATATGCCGTATTTTACATAAAATGTATTTTTTAACTTAAGTGACCGAAAGATGCCGGCGGTGCGGGATAAAATTATTAAGCCACTCGTAGGTAGACAAGCATTTTTAAAGTCTCGCCTATCGACTCGACGTTTAGAAAATTTGTTCTACCTACTCGCGGTTAAATATATATAAACTACCGTTCCAACTGAAATACTACCGTTCCAACTGAAATACAAGGTGGTTATTAGAGGTCTGCACCGGCCGGCTGCAGCCGCGGCTGGCTGCAGCCCCACGGCTGTGGGTCGGGGCGGCTGCAAATATCTCCAAAAACACGGCTACGGCTGTGGCCACGGCTGTGAGATTTCAAGCTCAATCTTAAGTACTCAAATATAAAATCTTAAATCCTTAATCTTA